GTGATTCTTTACTAGTTTTCCATATGCGCACACAAATAAATCACTTCCTCTAAAACCCAAAGTGTATTCTTGACTGATTGTTTTGATGGGGTGTCAATAATTGCAAGGAGGATGCTCTGAGCTCTAGCAGTTGAAATCCAGCTTCTTTTTTAGGTTAATCTTTTGAATCTTCAAATTATCCGAATGTGTGTCGTTTTTATTTGCAGGAGGTATCATCTGTCTTGTAGTATCGAAAGTCTTGTGATCTGTTTAGATGAATCGCCATTCAGAGATATCAATCGAGCTGTGTGCTGGTATATTTTGTTTGTCCCGTGAGACGGCTGGATAATAATTTATCTTCTATTCGCGTGTTTTTTTATGCAAGCGAAGATTGGAGTCCTTTTTGTTTTCGTCGGCCAACAGTGTGTTTTGTCGTTTGATTTTTGTATTTTTTTTATTATTATTATTATACATTTGGAAAGATGTCATAAACAAAAGGTATATATATATATATAGTCCATGTAAGTCATTCACATTTTAAACTGGAGTTTTGTGTGTGTTTTCCTGAGTTATAATGGTTGTTAATTGTTATACCTTTGTGGTATTCTTATGGACTGCTTTTCATATTCCTCAGTAGTGCTGTTAAATTAAACGAGACTGGCTCGGCTCAGCTCGGCTCGTTAAGCCTCGGTTCGGCTCGAGTTCGAAGCCTTAACTAGCCGAGCTCGAGCTCGAGCTCATTTAAAGCTCGTTTGGTTAACGAGCCATAAGGCTCGTTAAGGCTCGAAAAGTGAAAATTATGTAAATTTTTTTAGTTTGGCTCATTAAAGCTCGAGATCGGCTCGTTAAGGCTCGAGCTCGAGGCCTTAACGAGCCGAGCTCGAGCTTGATTTTTAGCTCGTTTACATAACGAGCCGAGCTCGGCTCGACTCGTTAAGAGCTCGAGCTCGAGCTCAAACACCTTAAGCTCGAGCTTGGCTCGGCTCGTTTACAGCCATTTCTCGGTATGATTTTGGGGGAAGCTTATATTTTTTCTTGGTTAATTACTGGAAATAATACAGACCTTTCATTGTTTATTCTCTTTATTGTTAGAATTCTCGAGTTTTCCTTCCCTGGAGAGAGGGTTGATGGCGAGAAGAATTCTCCATACACAATTAATATTATTTGTCCTCATTTATTAAATTTGAAATTTTAATAATATTTTAAGAACAACTTTTTTATTTGTATTCAATTTTTTCATACATAATTTATCAAATTAATCGTATTTTGACGATCTTCGATTTGACATTAACATCACGTATACAAATTTAAAATTAATTTCATCAATCTTTATTTAAAAAAAAAATAAAAATATTTATTGAACTAAATTAAAAATACAAATCAAGCTGTATAGTTTTGTATGATATATAAAAAAAAATGTTTATATTATTTTACCATTTTGCAATTGTAAACAAAAGCAAAGAGTAAGTATCAACACATAATGAATGAACAAAATTCTCTAGCTTGCATCTCCATGTGAATAAATTATAAAAATTAAGTGGATGTATAATGATGTTGAAAAAAAGTGAGTAAAAATAAAATTTGAAAGTAACAACATTATTAATTATAATTTGTAAAGTCATAGAATGTTAGGTTGATAACTATTAATTTATATTTTTTTTTCCAATCGATAGTATATTATAAAAGTTTTTATTTGGGTTTCATCTCTAGCCTATCCCAACTTGTTTGTGACTAAAAGATTTTATTGTTGTTGTTGTTGATAGTATATTATAAAACTCAAAAATTGAGTACATCGAGATATCAACTCATGAATACGACCAGAACTAAGTCCTGTCCATCTTCTCTTGGATTACATAGACAACCAAATGGAACAGTCTAATCCCAAAACACTTCCATAAGGGGAGACAATAGAACACCAAACACTTAGACTATAATTCGGACGCAACCGAAATTTTCAAAAAACACACACAAAAAAACACATACAACAAAAAAATATCACGAAAAAGTCAATTTTGTCCTAAAAAATGCCCAGCGATGATTGAAAATTGTTTAAGTGTAATTGTTTATAAAGTTGTATTGACAAAGTGTCACGAAGAAAAGTTGAATGAGTAAGTGCAAAAAAAACGGGTTAAATATAGTTTTCCCTAGATTTTAACTTATTTTAGGAACTTTTTTTATGGTAACACGTTTTTATTATAAACGAACAGAGGTTTGAGGGGGCTTATTCTCCTACGGAGCCGGAGAAAATAAGTTTGGAGAACTTAGCTAGAAAGGAAGGAAAGGTAACAACTAACAAGTAGCCATAATAAGGTGAGAAAAAATAGAATTGAGTGGGCGGCAAGTCCGCGTTGATGGGAATAGAGCTGCAGCCTGCAGTTGACCATTAACGCGGGAGTTTGCGGGTATTCGGGTCTCGGATCCGTGCACCCAAAGAATCCACCAAAATCCAATCCGGAGACCCTTTTAAAAACTAATAATTGGGATACT